GCCGGTGGAATAGGAACCGAACTGATGCTCCCCAGAATGGATAAGGAGAGGGGGCCATAAGAAATGCTCTGTCTAGCAAGCCCAAGAAATGCCTGTTGCAGGGCCGTACCTGTCCAGTCTGCAGTAGCCACTGGTAATGGTTTCGCCGTAGAGTCTCTGCATCAGGATGCCCCTTTGTCTCAGCTACTCTGATGGCTTCCTTCCACCTAAGATGAACCAAAACAGGTGAAACGTTCCAACGCATAACAGAACTTCCCTTTGCAAAGTCAGCAACAATGATTTATACTTATTCCTTCTCGCAAGTCTAATGAACCCAACTTCAGAAGCTCACAAGAAAATCCCACATAAACACACACTGCTCAATCAGTGATAACAAGCAAATTGAGACAGTATGTAAAGATAGGACTATGTGAACAAGGAGATGAAATACATGTAATTATCTTAAGAGTATCAACAGTGAGTACAATGTTCAGACTGCTGCTCCCTCTTCTTCAACTGGAATCCTTCTCACTACCTCAGTGTAACCAATGGCTTGTATCTCCCGACTCCTTCACCACCAGTCTGGATACTTCATTTGCCAAGTCGACCTCTCTACAGCGTTGGCTATTCCAGGCTAGCACAATGAAGCTGGGACTGGAAATGACAATGTCAATTTCTGTGGCCGCATGAAGTATTCTTCCCCCAAATCATGACCACATTGCCTCCCTGAAACTATGGTGACCTTCTCTCATATCCCTTGACCTCGCTAGCACGAGTGCCAGACTCTCTGTATAGCACAAGCACCAACAGGATGAAGTGCTCAATGATGAACGCTGGTCTCCCTCCTCTTGGAGTTTTCTTCCTCAGCTAGCAACGCCCACCAGTCAACAGGTAAACTTCCTACGCCTTCTTGCCAACCCTTGTGCAATGGTTGCCTCCTCCTTCCATCTGACCCTTCTCCTTACGGTGCCAGACAAGCTCTATGGTTCACAAAGCCACCTCTGAGTCTTGGATGAAGAATGTGGGCCACATGCAACCACTGGTCTTCTCTGCAGCAGCTATGGCTGAACACCCCGAGTTGACATTCTCTCCACGTCCACTTCCTTTTCCCCCACGCCTTGGACTCTACCTCAGATCTCTTCTCTTCTCTCTTGTAGCTATGGTGCATCAGCACCTTCTACAGGCTATGGCTACCACTATCTCTCACTCTAGCTATGGCAGCCTCTCACTCTTTCTCTGTGCCTTCTCTTGCACTCACTGTAGCAACGCACGTTAGTGTAACATGTCACTATAGCCGCACACTGTAGCACGTGCGTTGTAGATGCGCACTGTAGCCCATGCACTGTAGCAGGTTGAGGCACAATGAATCCACGAGATGGGGCGTCCTCAAAGGGCTGAAATTTGCCAAGCTATGTGACCCAGATTTGCTCGCGGCCAGTGTGTGGCTGGGTCCAGTGGGCCTTGGAAAGTTCTGGAAACTGCACTGAGCCTTTGGGATCTGTGGCCGTGGTTGACTCCTGGAAACTCTTTGACTCTTTGATTTTTGTGCCCGGGTAGGGCTAGACTTTCCTAGAGCCTACTTCTGACCGTGGAGGCATGAGGTGCCTCATTTTGACCCTTGACCCAGTAGCTATCCACCAAGGGACATTCTGATAACTCTTCAGAGTCAGTAAAGTGACTTTTGGACCCTGGAACTTTGACCTGACCAAAGGTTACTACCCCTGCCCCCTTACAATCCCATTTCTCATGCCTAGCCTTGACTCAGACTTTGGATGCATGTTTCTATGCTAGATTTGAACCCTGGTCATTGCACAAGGGATAGCTGTAGGCAAATTCACTCACACACACACACACACACACACACACAATCCGAGTATTACTACAAGCAGTTGCCCGTCGCAGCTTCGCCCACAGCGCACATCTCCTCCTTCCTGTCTTCCTCGACCGGGTCCTCCTCCTAAACACATCTTCCCCCCAAAAGAAACAAAATCCGCCTCCTGAACTGAGACAGCGGGACTTGCTCCAGTCGACATTCCACATGTATCTGGTCTCTGGGCGGTATTTTGTGGTGTGGGTGACACCACGCAAGTTGGGTGGCACGACCATACGAGTGGGTGGCAGTTCGGGGTCCGGGAGGTATTATGTTGTTATGAACTTGGTTGTCTGACGATTTTTACCGCCACTCACACACACACAACCTCATACACGCCCATACATGCATAAGAGAAGGGGGAGAGGAGACAGAGTCCACACTGCACACAGATCGAAGTAGGCAGCGGAATACAGCTACGCACAGATGGGAAGAAGACACACTGTTTCTCTCTCACTGCAATCAGACTCGACTTATTCACACTTTTCATGCACGTGAACAGCAGAACAGCAAACTGGCGACATGCGCCCACACTGTACTCAGAGATATCGTAACCAGATAAGAGTTCTCTTGTAATTGGCTATGGCGGCTGTGCGCCCAAACACCTCGCTGCTCACACTATGGATCACCCTGGATGTCCCACGCACATCACTCTGCACACACGCTCAGTACCCACACTCTGCACTCTACACTAAGCTATGGCAGCTATGGCTGCCGCTACCTATCGTTGTGGCTACAGTACGTCACTCTCGCCCACTTCGTCTTCGGGCCTTCTGCAGACCTCCTCGCACAAGCTGCTGAGGCAGCGCTTCCGCATGGCTTCCGCACGAATGAATAATGGCTGAACGCAGTCTCTTGCTTTATACTTCTGTGTTGTGTTGGTCTGCCTTGTGTCCCTTGGCCCCTGGTGCACACAGTCCCAGACGGTACTTGCTAGGCAGGACCGGACTGCCTAACTGGGACTGTTGACAAAGCGAGGTGGCCTACCACCACTTGACCACTTGCCTCTGTTCAACGTAGGCTCACTCCGAAAGGCCACTTCTAGAACCCTCTAACTTGGCCTTTCGGTACTGTAGCAGCTACGACTTTGCCCCTTCAGGTAAGTAGCAGCTACGACCTTGACCCTTCAGACATCCTACAACTACGACTGCGGAACTGTCTAGACTCCTACCCTACAGGTCTACAGTTCGATTCCCTTCTACCCTGTGACCTACGAAAACCTACCTACCACTGGCGGTCCTACAGGTCGCAGGTTCAAATCTACGGGTTGACACTGGTACTGTACACAGGTAAGACGGGGAACTAGGGATCGAGCCCTGGGATCTGCATTCGCTACTGCGAACTGGTGAATACTGTTTCACTCCCGCCGGCCTGAATTCGAGGTCCTCTGAGAAAATTTCAGTCCAAGGCAGGACCTTTACCTCGCTGTTGTCTCTCGTAGGCCCGGACTATATCGGGAGCTGTCTCTAGAAGTTCAGATCTTGTAAACCAGCGGTCGTCTTCCGGTTCTTGGTAACTAAAATGAACCTTATACTGTTTCTGCGGACGACCCCTACCTCCAGTTCTGAAGACATCTTCAGCCACTATACCATCGATGTCATATCTCCCATCCATATCCGGTGGGATCATTGATCTACGGGATGGAAACTGATCACTTGTCTGACAAGGTAATAACTTCGATGCATGGAAAACTGGGTAAGTGTGGAGGTGTGCTGGGAGTTCTATGGTATAGGACGGTCCATCTTCGCCGCCCTTGACTTCTAGAACGGGCCACGGTCCTCTATATGTGGGCAGTAACTTCTGCAAGATGTTCTCCTCAGGTGTAAACTCCTTAGAACTGACCCAGACTAAGTCGCCTACTTGAAACTGTGAGGGGCGACGATGTTTGTTCGCTTCCTCTATCATCCTATGCTGGGCTTTCCTGAGGTTCTCTACAACAGTAGCTAGTTCTTTCTCGTGCTGTACAGCAAACTCCCTGGTCCCGGGCGGTAATCAGTGAATCTGATCCCGGTTGAGTCCCTCAAACGGTCTACGCGGTCTAAAGGACTTGTGCAGTTCGTTGGGAGTGCGGCAGGTGGATAAATGCACGCTGTTATTATACGCACTACCTACTTTAGGTGAACATCTCGCCCCAGTTAACCTGATCTGGCCTAATGTACATGCGCAGAACTTGTTGTAGGATCTTGTTCATTTGCTTTGTCTGACCGTTAGTCTCTGGATGACGGTCGGACGACATCAACAACTTAGATCCATATACTCCCATGTGTTCTTGCCAGTTTTGGCTAGTAAAGCGACTATCCCTATCGCTAACTATTGACAGTGGGATCCCATTCTCACTCACCCAACAATCAAAAAATCTATGTATGACTAAATCAGTACGTGCCTCTGAAGGCAAAGGAACAAAAACTGCGTACTTACTAAAACGGTCAACTATGACCATGACTTGGCTCTTGCCATGCCTGCTCTTGACTTGAGTGTCCATGAAGTCTATGGACACTGAGTCTCCCGGCTGATCCGGAATGGGCAAGGGTCTGAGAAGACCTAGCGGGGCGCACGTAGAGCTCTTGTTCCGCTGGCAGACCTTACAATTGCGAAAATACTCTACGCAGTCATTCTTCATCCCCGGCCAGGTATACGCGCGCATCAGATTGGCTGAAGTCTTTTGCCAACCAAAATGACCCTCTGTGTCGTGGCATTCTCCCAAAATCAAACTACGGATCTCTTCGCTATTGGGGATGCACAGCCGGTCAAAAACATTAGTCTTCTCAAAAAGCAACCCCTCAATAGTGCAGTAGTTCGGTTCAGGCTTTGGGGCCTCCTTGACCTTCTTGAGGAGGTCACTGTAGATAGGGTCCTGCGCGTAGGCTTCTCTAACCTTCTGCTGCAGATCCTTCCCTATATCGAGGTAATGTACTATTGCCCCAAAGTAATCAGCTCTTCTACTCAGAGTATCCGCGACTACGTTGTACTTCCCTTTGACAGGCTTGAGCTCGAAGTCGTACTGATCTATCTCTGCGGCCCACCTAGTAAGCTTAGGTGTCATCTTGGCCTGTGTCTTTAACCATTGTAACGTTTCATGGTTGGAATAGACTTTGAAGTGTCTCCCAAGCAAGTAGTGCTTCCAGTGGTCTAAGGCTTGCCTGAGAGCGTAGAGTTCCCGCTCATAGGTAGATGTCGCGACCTTCTCTGAAGGCATTCTGGCAGACATGAACTCTACGGGTCTATACCCATTGCCATCGTCTTGCTGTAACACTGCGCCATGCCGTATTGACTCGCATCGGTCGTGACAACAAAGGGCAAGGACGGATCGGCGACTTTAAGGACTGGATACTCTATCAATGACTGCTTTAACTTCTTCATGGCAGACGTGCAGTCCTTATCCCACTTCCAGATGGTCTCCTTTCTCAACAATCTGCGAAGGGGCGCAGCGATGGTAGAGAAGTTCATCACGAACTTCCGGTAGTAATTAGCTAAGCCCAGGAACGAGCGCAACTCTGTCAGCGTACGTGGCGTGGGCCAATCTCTAATCGTTGAGATCTTGCTATCCTCTGGCTTAACGCCGTCTCCGTCTAAGACGTGGCCTAAGTACAAAACTTGGGTTTTCGCCCAATTGCACTTCTTTGCATTGATCAGGAAGTTAGCTTCCCTCAGCTTCTCCAAGACCTGCCTGAGATGACCCTGATGCTCTTCGAGGGTCCTGCTAAACACTAGAATGTCATCTAGGTAAACTACAACAAATTTGTCTAACCACAGCCTAAACAAATCGTTCATACAGCGCTGGAATGGAGCTGGCGCATTGGTTAGTCCAAAGGGCATCACTATGAACTTGTAGTGCCCATATCTAGTCCGGAAGGCTGTCTTATACTAATCATCAGGATGCACTTCTATCTGATGATATCCGGACTTCAAATATATTTTGGAAAAATACTTCGCCCCCTACACTCGATCTAAGAGATCGTTTATCCTAGGCAGTGGCTCAACATTCTTTACTGTAATAGCATTCAGACCCCTATAGTCTATGCACATCCTTAGCTCTCCCTCTTTCTTAGGAACAAAGAGAACAGACGCTCCAAAAGGAGACGAACTGGGCCTAATCCAACCCTTCTCGAGGAGCTCGTCTAATTGCTTGCGAAGCTCCTCTAACTCTCGTTGGGACATCCTATACACAGCACCCTTAGGAGTTCTACTGCCAGGCTCTATCTCAATGCAGTGCTGGATGGGCTGCGGTACTACTCCTATCGGTGGCTCGGTAAGATCCTTGAACTCTTCCAACAGCTTGGCAATCGCAGGGTCCATCGGTTTTTCTTTCGTAGGCTCAGTCACCGGCCTAACATAGGCAACAAAAACCTGTTCCTCCAATTTTTCCCTTTTCACCAACCTGGCGAACGCAGGAGCACTAAGACAGCAATGTGCCAAGGGATTCTCTACTCCTGACACATGGAACAGGTGGGCAGTCTTAGCCTCGCCTGAAGAACTAGGGAGCCTACACTCGTGCTCCTTCAAATGGAGCGTGGCCCCGGCTGCCTCTCCCCAATCCATTCCCAGAACAATATCCAATGGGAGGCTGTCTTCTACGAGAAGAGTCAGGGAGTGGAGGACCTTCTCCACTTTCCCATCTTTCTCTAGGCGGAAATACGTCTGGACTCCCTCTACTTAATCCTCTACAACCATGGTACGATTGTCTGCGAGGATACTAACTATGGGGTCTGTCAATTTATGGACTTTAAGTCCCAGCCTCAACTTCTGCAGCGTTTTCTTACTAATATAGCTGCGGGTGGCCCCTGAGTCTACTAGGGCCCCTACTCTACCTCTAAAAATCTTTGTATCTAGTAAGATCAGATACCCTTTATTCTCCTTCTTCATCTTGCCCCAGGCGGGCCTCGTCTCCTTCAACTCTTCGGCTACGCCTGTGAGGGAGGTGTCTAGAGAGACCCTAATACAAGCGGTCTATGGGAAGCTATCTAGACACCGGCCTGCAACCTCTGCCATAGGCACATGTGGTGTGGGAGTCTCCTGCCGGCTAGCGCTATGTTCCCCACATGGCCTAATGGTAGGGGCAGTTGCTACCCCTACCGGCGGCTGCCTTTTGGCCATTGGGCAGCCGTTCGGGTCTCGCGATACTTAGGACAATATTTAATGATATGGCCCGGGTCACCGCAAAAAATGCACTGGCCCCGGTCCAATCGTTGTTGCCATAAAGTCTAGTCCAGACCCAAAGTTTCCCAAGGCCTACCCTGTGGTAGCCCCGCGTGCCATCCTCCTACCCTATAGGGAGACTTATTCCTAGGACGGTTTTGCGGGGGACCTTGACCCCTGCGTCCCGCTTGGCGGTTTCCTCCTCTACCGCCAACCCCCTGATCGCCCTGAAACCGGCTCCCTGAGGCCCGACCCCCTTGACCCTGGCCTCGTCCTCCTTGCGGCCTCCCTCCAGCCACGACAGCAGCGTAAGTCCTCCCCTGGCCCACACCGCTGTCCTCTTCCTCTAACCCCCACTCGATCTGTTCGTAGGGGATCTCATCCACACTACCCTCATCTAAGGTCAGGACAAGGCTGTCCTTGGTCTTTACCTGCCCTGAGATAGTGCGGCCTTTACATTGCTTCCCCTTGTCCAAGTCCTTGTGCCAGAAGGTAGACACTGACATAGACTTGGCCTCGAAGGCCACCACCTCACGACTAAGAGAATCGTACGTAGTGGCAGGGTCTTCGCTCTTTGCGAAGAAATACCCTCGAAGGGCTTCGGGTATAGCCCGATAGAAGAGGCCGACCAACTGGGTGTCTGTAACCCCGTGGTCAGGGACAGCCACTAACTCATCCATTGTACTCTTAAGGGCCTTGGCACTCTTCCACTTACGAGAGTGGATCGTCTGCAGCCTATCTGAGGCTTTAACGCTGTGGGCGACATCAGCAAATCTCTCGAGCAACAACTTCAAGAATTCGATGAGGGACGTGAACGAGGAGTACGCAACGGGATCGTCACTACAGTTGGCAGCGCGAACTAGGGACCTTGCAAAACTGGCGGCCTCATCTCTCAGCGCGTGGATCGCAATTAGAACCTGCTGATCCGGGGAGACCTGTTGCAAGTGCACATAGGTCTTAACGTTGGCTTCCCAGTTGTCAAAGTTCTCTTCCCTTTTCCYACTGTAGGAATCAGGGAATTTGACCTTGACCGGTTCCCGGCGAGGAGGACGTGCTTCCTCCTCCTTGGGGGCTGCCGCCTTGACGCCCTCAATGGCGCCAGCGCAAAACCGTTGAGTCTTGTCGAGGCGGTGGCCCACCTCAGTGCCTATAGCGCCTACCAACTCTCGAGCAAAGTCCCGGAATCCCAACTTTATTGAACGCACAGCTATGTGTTGACTCCTACTAAAGTCATATTGCTCCGCCTGAATTCGTGCCAGGCGTGCAACATTTCGAGCTATGACTCGCATTTGGGCTGGGAGTTCAGTCTGGGCGGCTAGTTGCTCTTCTATCCTTTTTACCTCCCCTAATTTTTTGCTGCCTCCGCTGCCACGTCCACTCTCCTCTTCTTCTCCCTTATCACTGCCAACCTCCATTCCATTCTCTTCTCATCTTCCATTGCCTGCCGCTTTACAACATCTTTTTCTGCTTCCCAAGCTCTCATAGCGGCTTCCTGATCGTCCTTAAAGATATACATCGCCACTTCTTCTTCTTCGCCCAGGGATAAGTTGGCGACCCACTCTGAGATCCGCTTCTCCATCTCCTCATCCCTACTGCCACTGTACTGCCCCTTCTTCCTCTACAGTGGCGTTTTATCTTCTTCCTCCTCTTCCACCTCTTTCAACTTCTCTTCCTCTTCCTTTTGTATCCTCTCCTTCTCTCTGGCCATCTCTTCTTCATCTTCTTCAATTTGGCCGCCTGCTCCTCCTTCAAGGCCTTCTTCTTGGCCTCCTTCTTCTCCTTCCTCTCTTGCAAGATGGCGGCCATCTTCTCCTCCTCCTCCTTCGTGTATGGCTTGGTGGAGACACCACCCCGGGTGTCTACTCTACACGTAAAGGTGTGCCAGAACCCCAGAGGAAAGAGGAGATGCCAGAGGGTCCCCCAGAGGGGGAACCCAACGAGCAACCCATACATCGGATAGTCGTCCATCGTGGTGTTAGGTGAACGACAATGTCCCACTCCTCACCACTTAGACCTACGCGGACACACTAACCTACTGTCTGACTCTCTAAGATCCACTACTCACAACTACTCTAAGGCTGTCACTACGGAACTAACAGCTGATCAGGAGGCATTTAAGGAGATCCCCCAAACTCCGCAAGAATTATTTAACGTCGCAGTCAGGACGACGTGATCAGCGTAGTTCTTCCTGGCGATTTCAGCCCACAACTCAGCCGTTCCGGCCTACTGTGCCACACCGAGCAGCCCGCCGGTCTGTACCGGTCCTTGGAGGGGTTCGTATCCCTCGGGACAGTCGAGTCGTCAGACACAGATCATCAGCCTTACTAGGTCCGGTAGGGGAGTGGTTCAACCAGGCCTCAACACTTAAAGATTGCCTTCGTTTCAGCCTACAACTCGGAGTTTGGACCCTCTACACTGAACTCAGTAGACCTGTCGGATAGTACCGGTCATTAGGCTAGACGAGTTGTTTAACGAGCGCTCGCCGCTCATGCCCAGGTCTCCAGATGCCAGAGTAGAGATTAGTCCTACTAAGTCCCGTGCAGGTTTGGCAGCAAGGCCCTATCCTTCATCCACAGAGTCCTAACACCTAGGACAGCAGAGACTCAATGCAGAAAGGAAAGACAGACAGACTCAAACTCAGCAAGTACCTTAGGGTGAGTGCACATACACAGGGTAAGGGGATAGGCTAAGGGCTCAGCGAGATATCACCAGCTCCAGCTTGGTCAAAATCTTGGTCGGCAGCTCCGGTCAACGCCTTGGTCAACGCTGAGTCAACGCGGACAACCCCCAGTCAACGCTTGGTCAACACCCTTGGTCAACGCCTGGTCAACCCTCCGGTCAACGCTCTGGTCAACGCCCGGTCAACCCTTCACCTCGGCTATGGCTGCCGGCACCATCACCTTCATCACCCTCGCCGCTTACTTCCCCTTCCTTCACTCTTCTTCTTCTTCACTTTCTCTGTTTTTTTTTGTTTTTTTTTTTTTCACCCCCGACTATGTCTGTCTTCTTCTCCAACGTCCTCCTTCCACACTTCTCTTTCTCTCTCTCCTTAGTCCCGCCTTCTCTGTCCTCCCTGTCTTTCTCCTTCGGTGCCCTGTGATGAAGCTCCGCGGCTATGGCCGCTATCTTCCTCCTCCGTCGGACAGCGCAGCTCGCCTCACAAGTATGTGACAACCAATCTTGGATCGCTCATCTTTCTCTCTCTCGATCTGCTTCTTCATCGTGGTCTTCTTGATGCAGGTGCGCGACGGCTTCTTCCACCTTGAGGTCCGCCATACTCCAGCGGCCACTTCAGCTATGGCGCATCGGCCCTGCACACGACGGAGCGCGCGGAACAGCGGGTACCAGCTCCGATACCAGTGCAATCAGACTCGACTTATTCACACTTTTCATGCACGTGAACAGCAGAACAGCAAACTGGCGACATGCGCCCACACTGTACTCAGAGATATCGTNTGCAATCAGACTCGACTTATTCACACTTTTCATGCACGTGAACAGCAGAACAGCAAACTGGCGACATGCGCCCACACTGTACTCAGAGATATCGTAACCAGATAAGAGTTCTCTTGTAATTGGCTATGGCGGCTGTGCGCCCAAACACCTCGCTGCTCACACTATGGATCACCCTGGATGTCCCACGCACATCACTCTGCACACACGCTCAGTACCCACACTCTGCACTCTACACTAAGCTATGGCAGCTATGGCTGCCGCTACCTATCGTTGTGGCTACAGTACGTCACTCTCGCCCACTTCGTCTTCGGGCCTTCTGCAGACCTCCTCGCACAAGCTGCTGAGGCAGCGCTTCCGCATGGCTTCCGCACGAATGAATAATGGCTGAACGCAGTCTCTTGCTTTATACTTCTGTGTTGTGTTGGTCTGCCTTGTGTCCCTTGGCCCCTGGTGCACACAGTCCCAGACGGTACTTGCTAGGCAGGACCGGACTGCCTAACTGGGACTGTTGACAAAGCGAGGTGGCCTACCACCACTTGACCACTTGCCTCTGTTCAACGTAGGCTCACTCCGAAAGGCCACTTCTAGAACCCTCTAACTTGGCCTTTCGGTACTGTAGCAGCTACGACTTTGCCCCTTCAGGTAAGTAGCAGCTACGACCTTGACCCTTCAGACATCCTACAACTACGACTGCGGAACTGTCTAGACTCCTACCCTACAGGTCTACAGTTCGATTCCTTTCTACCCTGTGACCTACGAAAACCTACCTACCACTGGCGGTTCTACAGGTCGCAGGTTCAACTCTTCGAGTTGACACTGGTATTGTACACAGGTAAGACGGGGAACTAGGGATCGAGCCCTGGGATCTGCATTCGCTACTGCGAACTGGTGAATACCGTTTCATCACTGACAAACTCCCAACAACCAATAACAGAGTTTGTTCCAGTATCTCACCACCCTCAGGACTCACACCCCACTCTCTATCCTACACCCAGTTAGTAGCGCCACATCAGAATGGCCTCCCTGAGGCCAGCGCCAACCACCCTGATGAAGAACAGGTCCTAAGATGAAGTCTTCAGTACCAAGGGACAACTCTGACGAAGGAACAGGCAGCTATGGCTGCCACCACCCACGAGTACACAGTGTAGAGCCTCGATGTAGCCCGGCCAGACGCAGATACCTCAGGGGTAGATGCGTTGAGGATGCCCCAGCTATGGCAGACTCAGTCTGGGCCGGCTATGGCTGCTGTCAACGGCGAGGTCTCAGGATGCCGCCTGCAGACAAACACCGCCACCAACTTGCTTGGCTTCTCCAACGCTGCTTCGCGAGAAA